CTCCACGTTTTAAGGTCTCTAGAGTCGAATAGGATCGTTTCCAGTGGACGTCTGTCTGTGTGTATGTATGTATGTGCGTACGTTCGTTCGGAATTTTCCTGGTCGATTATCTCGAGAACAAAAAACCATATCGATTTGAGACCAAACGCCTTTAACGCGTAATTATGTAACTTAAAACTAATTAGATTTTCAGCAAAATCGGTTCAGCCATTTTTTTTGCAGAACCAAAAAACTAACAAAAATAGAAAATGACCTGAATTTCTTAATTTATAAATTATACCATTTTTTAGACAAAATTTCGAAATCTTAGAAAAAATATGAATATCAAATGATTATAATACTTGCATAAAAATAAGTTGACAATATCTCATCGAAAAAAAAAATTTTTAAAAACAAAATCAGCAATGAAAGAATTTTAAACTCGTGTCAGGATTGAGAACACAGCATTAAAGACGCTATAATAGTCAATAATAGATGTAAATAATATGGAATTGTGTCTATAACAATCGAACATTGTTACTAACAAATGATTATTGATCACAGTGATTTTAAATAGAAAATCAAAGTAATATTTAAATAAAAAGTTTTGAATTGTTATAAACAATAAAATTAGGGATTTATGCTATATATATGAGTACTTCCAACGTGTAATTTTTTTTTACTGAAAAAAAGTCACTAGCTGTATGACCTAAATAAAACATGCATCTTTGTTCATAACCATGAAATTTATTATAAATGATGAAAAAAGAGATCCATGCGATACATTTCAATTCTTCCGACGCGTAATTTTTTCTTTTACTAAAAAAAAGCTACCAACCTTATGAAATAAATAGGAACTTACTTTTTCTATTTATCACAATTATATCTGTTATAAACAATTGGAATCGAGTTTTTCCGAGGTGTTTTTTCATTTTTTCTACTGGTAAGTTGTTTGTGTGGACCTTTCGGGTTTTACCCGGACCACTGCAGAGCACTGATATTTATTAATTGTTTTTGATGTTTTGTGTAAATTTGTATGGGTTAAGCCATTACTTAACGAAACAAGTTTTAGTGTTGCTCAGGCAATGGGGCGTATTTTTAGACGGAGTAATAAAAGATTACCACGCATACTACAGACAGATCGTGGTAGAGAATTTTTGGGCTCTGATTTAAAAAAAATTTTGATTAAAAAAGAAATTATTTCTAGAACTGTAAGAAATCCACATGTCGAAGCGGCTGTTGTTGACGATTCAATCTTACTTCAAAAAAACGAATCTGGCGTTATTTTACATACACACATACGAAACGATTTATCGACGTTCTACAAAAAATTGTCTCCGCTTACAATGATACTAAACATAGTGCTACAAAACTTACGCCCGTTAAAATTGATTTCAACAATGAGTTAACAGTATAAATATGAGTACAATAAGGGCTGTAAAAAATCATCCAAAAAGCCTAAATATAGTGTTGGTGATCTCGTTCGTGTCAGGAAAGCAAAAGCTTTACTAGTTCAGTTAGCACCATATCTCCAACAGATTCTTGGATTTTTAGCTGAAGATGAACCTGTATTATTGCCGCTTCTAAAAAGCACCCAGCCAGCAAACATATATGCGTCTATCCCGTGTAGCTTATTTGTTCACACAGATATTTGTGAGAATTATGTAACAGGTGACGTACAGATACCATTATTACGCATTGTGCCCCTTGACATGCATAATTATACACATGGTTCAATGCGAATATAATCGTTTTCAACAATGCACTATATCCCTCTCCTGAAGGCAGATATTCGTACCATAGAAGTAGATACAAGAGATGAATTTGGCCAAGCTATACCATTGGAAAACGGCACGTTAATTGTAACGTTACATTCCAAAAAATTAAAATAAACATGTATCAAAAAATTGTCTATAATATTCTACAAGACGGGTTTGGGCGTGGTGGATACAGTAGTATTAGTCAAATTTTTTAGGAGGCTTATTCAGATCTGTACTGCCTTTTCTGAAAAGTGGTGCACAAATTATAGGTAAAGAAGCTTTGAAGTCAGATTCGAATATTGCCGATGATGTCCTTGATGATGGCGTATCATTCATAGAATCTGCTCGAGCTCGTTTACGAAAGTCTGGACGAAATACAAAACGAAAAGCCTCTAAAAACATTAATTGCTTAATGAGCGGCTCGGGCTATATACCACTAGGTTCATCGCTAAATCAACAGTTGTCCCTTGACAGCCGTGCAGAGAACATCAGTTCTCAAAAGAGAAAAAAACGCTCTGTAAGACAAGTCAAAAAAGCAAAAGAACAGATTCCTAAAGGAAAAAAGAAGTAGAGTGAAGTCCTAAAGGTAAAAAGAAATAAGACGAAGAAGACAAAAAAGACCACGAAACACTCGTGTAAGAAATTATGATCTATAGCAAATATATTTAAATAATCATAATGGCTTTTCTTCATGTTCATTCTAGTAAGTGTCCAAAAACAGAATTAGAATTATTTTCTGTTCCACCTACACAAACAACACTTGAAGGCTCTCAATGGGTATTTTGTAAACCGATTTCATCATTAACAGATAATTCACCTATCGAATTTGTTTTACAAGGACAATGCAATAAATATTTTGATCTTGCACATACTATGTTGAATTTAAAAGTCAAAATTACATCTCGAGTGGCTTTACAGGCTGATCTAAAAACGACGCCAGATATTAATGTTGGCCCTAAATATAATTTTATGCATTCTATGTTCAATTAAGTTGATGTCTATTCCCATCAAAAATGTGTGTCACCGCCTAATCATTTATACGCTTTTAGAACATACATTGAAACACTTAAAAACACTCAAATTATGGTCGCGATGCAAAAAATTCTTATCTCAGTACTGTTGGCTGGTCTCAAGACACAGCTGATAGAATGGATAGTCTTATAGGTGAAAATGAAGGCTTGAAAAAACGGTATCAATATTTACTATATGGAAAAACCTTTGATTTACTTGGCTATCTACATTGTAATGTATTTAATCAAGAGCGTTTTTTGATAAACGGTGTTGAAACACGGTTACGTTTAACAAAATCTCGAGATTCATTTTGTTTAATAAATAATTTAACTGTTAAATGCAAAGTTGAAATAATTGAAGCCTCTTTGATAATGTGACGTATGAAAATATCCCCGAGTACTCTGCTTTCACATGCTCGAGTCCTTACGAAAATTACCGCTAAATATCCTTTAATACGCGCGGAAGTTAAGGCTGTTTCTATACATGGTAGTGTTCATGGTAAAACTATTGACAATGTTATTTCAAGGCAATTACCACGCCAAATAATTATAAGTTTTGTTGATAACAAAGCTTTTAACGACGATACGAAATTGAATCCTTTTAATTTTCATCATTATAAAATTGATTATATGTCCTTATATGTCGACGGCCGTCAAATTCCTTCGAAATCACTCCAACCAGAGTTTACTGAGAATTCTTTGTATGTTGATTGTTATCACACGTTATTCTCAGGAACAGGCATTTTCTTAATGAAGGAAACGACATTAATCGCACGGACTATCCAAATATCCACTGCTTATGTGCTTTTGATTCGAGATCTGATCTTTCTGCAAATAGCAATACATACTGGAATTTGATCAAACATGGTAGTGTACATTTAGAAGTACGCTTTAATGACGCTTTAGTTTCAACTCTAAATTGTATTATTTATGCTGAATATGAAAATATACTTGAAATTGGTGCATCGCGGCAAACTATTGTGGATTTTGCTGGAGAAGTATATTTTTCATAAAGTAGAGACATGTTGTTCAACAAAGAGCTCAGTATTGAGCTAACCGTCGGTTGTGTAACACGTTTCAAGTAGTAAGCGTCATTTTTACTCAAGATGAAGTTTGTAATTGATATACAAGGCTTTTTCATGAACGACGCTGATTTTCTACCAAAAGAAATTGCCCTGATTTTTTTAGAAGCTAATATTATTGGCCATTGGATAATTGCTCCTGATCTTTCTTATTCAATATTATCGGAATCAAAACAACAAGCACATATTTTATTGACATCACAACATGGTATTCCATGGTATGAAGGCTCTTTAACAATGAAAGCTGTATATACTAATTTACGGTCTATTACACAAAATGCTGAGCAGATTTATACACGAGGCTTCATACAAAAACGCCCATTAGAAACGGTTGTGTAAAAAAAAATTATGAATATCAACGACAAGTTTGATAGACCGTCATTTACTGTCCGTCAACCGTAGAGATCGTTTGTTTATATTACTCTGCTCTGACGTACGTGTTTATAGGCTGTTCAATGTCAGCTGCTTATTGTTACCGTAGTTGGCTACAAAAAAATTCATCAATGCGCCTTAAATCTTCAGCCACTCTAACTGTGGCTAATAGAAGCTCTTCAGTACATCCCGGCTCATTCAATAAGCGTATATCCAGCAGAAAAAATTCCAAAGGTGTGGACGAAACCGACAGCATTTGTAGTTAATACCGATAGTCACAAACAACCAGGGCAATATTGGGTTGCCATGTACGTCAATCGAGATGACACCGGCTACTAGTTCGACAGCTCTGGACTACCAACAATTATTCCAGAACACCTTAAGAGACTTCGAGAGAGTTGTCGATACTCCCGCTGCTCCGTCAAATATCTATAACAGGAAGATTCTCAAGTTTGCGGTCAATATTGTATCATGTTTTTGCATGCTATATCTATTAATTATCCACTCAGCGGCTTGTTATCTTGCTTTAGTTGAAAATATTTCGAAAAAAATGAAATTGTAAGTGAATATTATAAGAACTTTATGAAAAAGAAACGCTTAAAATTCAATAAAAATACATTTATGGGGGAAGGGCTTCAATTTGATCGAATATGTTTGAGTAAGAATAAAATTGTATTTTAATGGAAATAATAACTTAATAAAGCCATATATAACTATTTTACTTAATAGTTACTTATCTTACGAATTACGATTTATAATAAATAATTCAAATACTAAAACCTTTTTTAAAACTGAAAATGACCTCATTCATGCAAAATCAATGTAAATGAAAATTGCTACTTTTCTCAGATTGACTATATAAAAGAAAAATTTACTTTTAGATCCTGTTATTAACATATCTCACATAAACGTTTTCAAAATTGTAGAACAAAGACCAGACGTCATCGTCTCAATAGTTGATTTGACCGGTGATGATGATGTGTATCATGATCAATTAATAGCTCGTGTCGAGGAAACAGCAGCGGCATACCCTCTGCCGCTGTCACCCGTCTCAACGCTTTCGGATCCTTCTCAACCTTATCTGGTTGACAATCGAGGTAACGGCCGCAAATGAGAAAAAAAACTTAGTCACTCTTAGACCCTGTTTTTCATATAATTTATCTATCTTTGCGTGCTAAAAAATATTTTCTAAATTGTAGAAGACCTTTCTGCGGATGATCAATCTTAAGTTTCTATCGTTAAAGTCGATTATGTACGAGATATATATACTTACGATAACGGTAATGTATATGAAATATATGTTCACTCGAGTTATATTAAGCATCGGATGCTTTATCCGTTTAACAACTGTGGAAGGCGTCGTTTGAGTCGCTATAAATGTAAATCAGAAAATTGTAACTTTACAACTTACATCATTCCGAAAGCGGCTGATCATTCGTATCATAATCATAAACATTTTTATTATTGCGGTATATGTAGGACTAGAAAATATAGCACTATATCATCCCTTGTCCGACACACAGATATGGTCCACTTTAAATAAAATATGTTTATCGGACAGTTCAACAACCGATAAAGAATGCTCTTAATTGTGTAAAAAAGAAAGCAACAATTATGATAAAAACAAAATGTTAATTCTTAGTTTTAACATACAAGATTTATAGCATACAAATTGTTAATGCAAAATGTGCAAACATGTTGAATAATTTTTCATATACTAAACGACTTCTTGTAATATATTAAAATATTTAAGGCTGAGAACGTGCATATATAGTATATAATTTTTATTATTGTTATCCAAGAAGGCGCTCTATCCTAAGGATGGATTAACATATGATTGATTTTTGTCCAGAAAGAAAATAATAATATACCTTCAGACCTATCGGATGAAGATCTAAGCGCAGGCCTATCCTTGGAAATTTCCATCATAAATGGAAATGGCCCTTATACCATCCGACTTCAAAAGTTGCCTTCAATCCTTGCTTTACATTAACCCAACGCAGTCTTCACCTTTTGCTTACCTGGTCGTTCACACCTTACATGAACTACTTAACTCATCTTTTAACGTTAGACTAATCTGGATCCCCGGTCACTCCAACATTGCCGGTTACGAAACAGTGGACGATCTAGCCAACGCAGCGAGAAGCTCCGGTACAAGAATTCAGTGTGAAATACCTCATACCGACTTCTACACCCACCTCAAGTCAAGAACTCTTCAAAAACCCAAATCATTACTCTGCACCCAACGACTACGCAAAGGCACCGTCTCTTTAAGCACTACTACCAAGACTCTCCTAAACCGTGGTTCCACAAAAGGCTGGAGAGAAAAGAGATAGTGTCCATCAACAGAATCCGCAGCAACCATTATAACCTCAACGACTCCCTTCATCGAAAGAACCTGACCGCTCACCCCGGATGCTCATGTGGCCACCTTCAGCAAGATTTAAGACATACCTTATGTGATCGCTCTCTATACACCTCTCAACGTCAACATTTGCTCAACGCTCTCTCCAAGACCACCTTCAAGTTCCCTTGTGACATTCATCAGCTCTTCAAATATCCCGCTCCACGCTTAATCCAAACCATCTGTAACTACTTTAAAATTTGTAAACTTTAATTATAAAATCTTCCTCAACAATCGATAAGGTTCTGGACCATTTATTGTTCAGTCGACTACTTACAAATCACGAAATTTTCCACCAGGGAGTTACGGCTGTACAAAGCGAACCCTTCGACGCCATATAATATAATAATAATAATAATTCTTCTCGGCACCAGGACGCCGACCAAGGCACATCTACACGGTGTGTCTATTTGACGGAGACGCTGCGGTTCAAAATGAATAATAGATATTGAATGAGAACGTCCTGCTAGTACTTGCAAAGAAATAGGAGACCGCCCCCATCTTTGTCACAAGCTTTGCCAGACAACACTGTGACAAGAATTCCCATCTATTGATGTAAGTATTGAATCTCTCTCTTTACAATGCTGTTTTTCTTAATATAGTCATACGATGACGTGAAGATATATAATAAAAACTAGATTAGTCCAGAATAAACAGTCTTTTCTAAAAAAAATAGAAAAGATCTAATTTATTGCCTACTATTTCAGAATCATTTGTCAAGTGTGAAAATAGTATTCTCTTTTAGGACACATCATGTTATTCTGGTTATTAACCGTACCGTCACATCTATTGTTAGAATAAACCTCAAAATGATTGCTAAACCACAATATTTTTTTTCATTTACTAAGGTCATGACATTGATTTTCTTTTTGAAAAGTTTCATACCAAATCATGAAGCAACAAGTATGTCATCTACTTCTAATTATAAATATGTATAGGATACAGGGAATAATTTTTTATTTCAAACAAAAATATGCTATTGAGTAGACAAGCTTTATCAAAGAGCTGGAAAAAAGAAGAGAATGCTTGTCGCCAATTTTTCGGCATCATACCAGAGTCTTAAAACATACAAAATGATATGAAGAATTTTCCTGTGTATAAAACATTCATTGCATTCATATTTACATCACACTCGACGATGAATTGTCTGAATAATATATTTATTATAAGTACATTTAAAAAATCAATCATCCCAGAAAACAACACTACTAGAATGAATATTAACACTTGTTCTATTAATTCAGTAGAATTAATTTTTTATTTTATTTCTTGACTGATGCAAATTTTTTTGATCTTGTTCTTGTACATTTTCTGATTTACTTGAATAAGGAAAATTAAAAGCAGCTGTTTTATAAAATCTATTGAATTGTTTCAGTTTGTAAATCAGAATAATCTTAGGTTGTAAGTCAGATGGCCCCGTTGCGATTATTCATTTTACATTGCTACAATATAGATGGAATTCCGCGGATGAGTATCGACGTTATTATAACACGAAGCACGTGCTCATACTACTGTCGCGTGATCGGGGTCTGCCGTGGTTAATTTATCAAACGGTTCAGTGTGAATATTGTACAGTCGTGCTTATTTAAGCTCACTTAAATAACTGTATGATTGGTAAATCAACTTGAATGTTTTTATTTCACAACGAACTGTTGAAAATATCTACTTATCATTTACTAAATCTAGCAGTCACTGCATTCGTGATACGTGAATGAAAATTTATAAGACATTGTCGGGTATAAAAATCATTCATTAGTATTATTTTTTCCTTACATCTTCAGCAAATAGTTTATAAAATATATGCGTAAAAAGGAAAAGGCCAAAATTTACATGCTCTGCACTTCCGGCCATATGTTTAACAGATTACTATCTGCTATACAACCATCAATACTTATTTTATATATCGAACTATCGACGCAATGACGAAGTGTTTGAATATTCAGTAATTATTCACTATCACAATGATATTGAAGTTCTATTGGTATTTCAAACTATTAATAATTATTATATAACATGTTGGATAACTTAATGTCAAACCTTAAAAATTTTGCAATTTTCAATTAATTTCAGTAATGAAGTAAATGAATTTTTAGCTGTTTCAAATATCCAATTTTGCTCCTATTGTCCATTATTAGAAGATTCAACTTAATTAACATCGAAGTAGAAATTCTCCAAAATGAAATTCTTCAGTGATTAGATATAAAAATTAAAAAAAAAAATAATAACGTAGAAAAAGAATAAACATAAAACAAAAAAAATTTTTTTTTTTAATTAATAATAATAATGAGTATTCCTATAACTATAATAGTATATTTCGACTACCAATCATTATCCGTATACGTGGAAAAGTGATCTTTGATCTGTTGTGATAAGAGAATATTTTTCTTTCGTGGGTAAAATTATTTTATAAAAAATGTATAAGACAGTCTGATAGTCTTAACGATTTTTCGTTGTAAGAAGATTTTTCTTTTATCTCTACACTTCATGATCTTATAAATACTTAAATTTTTCACGCAATCATGTGATTTTCTAAATAATTAAACTTTTCTCTTAATTTTACTTGTAAAATTATTTACAGTTCTTTACCATCTTCAGTCTGAAAATGATTTTAAATATTATCAGTAATACTTCATGCAATTAAATCAAAAATTATAAAATTTTAAAAATATGATTGTGATTATTATTATAAAACTAAACTTATTCTCAAAGCTATGATTGATCTTTTTGTTTTTCCTATTTTTCGTATCAGTAATAAATATGAGTTGTAAAATGGAATATATATACTGTGAGTTATAGATAGAACGTCATAATACAGTATATAATGTTATAAAAAATTAATTCAGATAATATTCTTCAAAAGAACAATGAGTTTATTCATAAATTTTTTATTATCCTTTGTCATAAATTTTTTATTCTCTCACATCTTCATTCATCATTTGAACTCAACTTTTCTCTAACTCTTCATTTCATGACCTCTCATCATCCTCTAAATTCCTTCACTAAATAATTTCCCACTCTATATAGTTATCAAGAAGTTCCAAAATAAGTACTTTACATATTTAATTAACTTCCCAGTAAGAAGTTACAGTAATGGGTCCGATTTTGCGAATCCCGATTTTTGACATATCTCCACGTTTTAAGGTCCCCAGAGTCGAATACGATCGTTTTCCAGTGGACGTCTGTGTGTGTGTATGTACGTATGTGCGTTTGGAATTATTTTTCGCCTCGATCATCTCGAGAACAAAAAATGATATCGATGTGGGACCAATTGCATTCGACGCGTAATTATGTAACTTAGAACCAATTAAATTTTCAACAAAATCGGTCGAGCCATTTTTTTGCAGAAGCAAAAAACTAGCAAAAACGGAAAATGACCTGAATTTCTCAACTTATAAATTATACCATTTTTTAGACAAAATTTCAAAATCTTTAAAAAAATATGAATGTTAAATAATTAGAATACTTGTATGAAAATATGATGACAATATTTCATCGAAAAAAAAAAATTTTAAAAAACAAAATCAGCACTGAAAGAATTTTAAACTCGTGTCAGGATTGAGAAAACAGCATTAAAGACGCTATAATAGTCAATAATAATTGTCAATAATATGGAATTGTGTTCATAACAATTGAACATTGTTACTAACAAGTAATTATTGATCATAGAAATATTAAAAAAATAAGTTTTAAATTATTATTAACAATGAAAATAGGAACCCCATCTATATATATATGAGTCCTCTTAAAGTCCTTTTAGTCAGACTGAGTTGTAACTGGGTTTATATAAATTTTTATCATTCAATAAACAAATTTAGTATCAGCCTGATATTTTCAGTCAACTGCCATTGACTTGTAATTTACAATTGAAAAATTGTATTTCATTAATGTACTGATAAGTCCAGTCGGTCGACGTTTATTCAATCAATTTTTATAACAAGTAATAGTCAGACTGAGTTGTAACTGAATTTATATTAATTTCAATAAATAAATAAACAAATTAGTATTAGCCTGATATTTTTTATCAACTGCCATCGACTTGTAATTTATTATTGAAAAATAGAATTATATCAGCGTTCTTGAAATGCTAGTCTATCGACGTTTAAACAATCAATTTCGGCTATAAAAAATTATCAGACGGACTTGTGAGGTGATTTATATGTATACATTTAAATTATAAAATGAACATATTAGTATAAACTTAACATTTTCAGTCAATTGCTACTTACTTGTAATTTGCTAATGAAAGATAAAATTAGATTAACGTATGAATTAATCTTGTCTGTTGAAGTTCACTAATTCTTCTTTCTTACAATAATTAATCAGACTCAGTTGTAACTGGAAAAAAATAATCATGAAACATTTGAGAATTTCGTTTTTTCTTTCATTTTATTATTAATAATCTACACAATAAATTTATTTACAATCAACACACAATATTTATTTTATTTACAATGTTTTTACATGTTGAAGTATCATTTATTGCAAATGTTTTGATGATGGTATGTAATAGGCGTTTTGGTCCGCGGACAAAATATCCTCGACGAAATATCCCCGGAAAACATATCCGCGAGGCAGAATATCTCTGGATAAAATAACCTTAGATGAAATATCTTTGCGATAAAATATACGTAGACAAAATATTTTTTTTATAAAATAGTTGTAAAATGAAGTAAGTTCTGTTTACATATTAATATATTTTGTATTCTGCCGCTAAGAATTACATATGATGGTACTGTTACTACTAGTTTACAATTAAAGTTGCTAGACGGCGCTTCGGAGCCTATAAGTTGGTGGGCATAAACGAGTGCCCAATCTGCAATTGTTAATCAAAGACAAAGTATATTAAATGTGTGTGTTTTGGTTACTTGTTGATCTTATTATCCATGTTGAATTACTAATGTTTAATTATCCACGCCATTTGTGCTTTGTAATATCTGGAGCATCATTTTTGTAATATTCAGTATTAATTAATTTTAAATATAGTTACTAATGTTAAAGTTTTTTATTCATTATTTATGATGCCGTTGTCTTTTGTGCCATCACAAAAAGGTAAAAAATTACTGCTCCATGAGGGATATTTGTATTCCAAAAAAACAATTAATAAAAATACTATTACATGGCGTTGTACGTCTAATGTGAATTGCAGTGTTTTAATTCATACGGATACAGATACAAAAACTGGTATTTATTCAATTTGGTTTTTTTTTTCTTCAATTTTTTTTAAAGTATTAATTAAGTAATTCGTTATATAGGAAATATAGTTGGTGTAATCCCGAGGCATGAACATGCTGGTGATATTGCTGCCGTGCAATCTAAAATCATAAAAGCAAAAGTTGTAAAAAAGGCTAAACGGAATGATGCAAAGCCGAGTATTATCATATCAAGTGTATTACGTGGTGTTTTATCACCTGTTTCTGCATTATTACCTAAGCTCGCATCTATGACTCGAACTGTGAACCGTATTCGATGTAAAAATAATCCGCAATTACTGGATCCACCATCACGGAGCCAATTGGAATTGAGGGGTGAATGGAAACAAACACACAAGGGTGATATGTTTTTACTGCATGACAGCGGTGGCAATAAAAAACGGTTTTTGGTATTTTCCACTCCAAAAAACTTAGACGTTTTGAAGAAATGTCAGCAATGGTTGAGCGATGGCACATTTAATGCTGTGCCAAGTATATTTTCACAGTTATATACTGTGCATGGCTTTATTGACGGCAAATCCATTCCACTTGTGTATGCGTTATTACCTAATAAATCTAAAAAAATATATTTACAATTCTTGACCGTTCTGAGACAAAATATGCCAAATTTTTCTCCTAGTTTAATCATGGTAGACTTTGAGCCAGCATTTATTGAGGCTTTTCGAGAAGTATTTAAAAGCACTAAAATTACCGGTTGTAATTTTCATTTTAACCAATGCTTTCGGCGTCGGATTCAGTCCTGCGGTCTTCAAAGCCGATATAATCAAGATGTCATTTTTGCTGCTAATTTACGTCTACTCATGGCGCTTGCGTTTATTCCACCAAAGGATGTGATTGAAGGCTATGAATTGATTGTTGGTTGTGATTTTTATAAATGCAATAGCGACGATTTGGAAGATTTACTTGCCTACTTCGAAATGACTTGGATTGGTCAATTATGCCATAATAAAAAAAAACGTAAGAAGCCATTATTTGATATCAGTATGTTGAATTGCTATCAAGCCGTGATTAATGATCTTTTACGATCAAATAATCCAATCGAAGGATGGCACAGTGGTTTTAATCGACGTGTGGGTGTTTCACATGCTTCAATTGGATTGTTTTTAAATAAACTAAAAGATGAGCAGTCTCGTAATGAAGCGTTAATATCGCAAATAGATACCGGGTTGAACGTTGTCACTCAGCCTAAGACTTATCGAGATTACAATGTTCGACTGAAGAAGGTTGTCATGAATTATGATTCTAGCGATAAATTAGGATACTTGAGAAGCATTGCCAAAATAATATCCATCAATGCCAGGCGTTGATGTTACAATTGCAATTATTATTATTTTTTGATATTAGAGATACATTTTTATGTTATATTGATCATTAATTTTGTTTTGTGTTGATATTTTTTGACCATCAAATACTTGACACATACTAATTTTGACGCTCATCGTTAAAGTTAATATTGATATTATTTCTTATTGTGATTGTAAAAATATGCAATTTAAGTAGATTTTAATCAAGTTAAGTTGTTGAAAAATCATAGATATTTAACAAAATATTAAAAGTATAAAAGTATTGACAACATGACTGTGAAAATATTCATTATAAAAATAATATTCTATATGTGAGTAATTATTCAAAATAAATATTACGATATCAATTATAATTAATTTAAATACTAACGTAGATATATATTTTTGTACCTGACGTCAATTGGAATAACTTAAGTTTAATTAATACTATGATGAGTTAATTAATGGATAAATATGTATATGCTGTTTAATTAAAAAAAGATGTAAGTTGATGTGTCAAAAATTCCCATGTTGAAATTGCTGTAATAAAAGTAGTCATTGTATGATATCTTTTTTTTTTTGTTTATTAATTTTTTATAATTTTTGAAACTCAATTCATTTGATTATTATTTGTAGGACAGTTAAGAAAATTTTTTGTATGTACTTTTTTTGGGAAAATTATTATCATTATCGGATATTTCTTGCGAATATATTTTGTCGGTGGATATTTTCTCTTAAGGATATTCTGTTCTGGGAATATTTTATCCTAGGATATTTTGTCCGAGGAAATTTTGTCTTAGATATTTTGTCTGCGGATCAAAACGCATAGGACCATGTAATTAAATGTACGCAAATTTTCATTTGGTATATCACATGATATTTTCATTTCTCTCCCATTTTCTGTTTTATTCGCCTTTATATTCTTTAAGGTAGTTCTTTTGAGATGTTTTGTTGTTGACTTTACACTTCCTGTTGTTGTTGTATTCCTTAATAAGTTGGCTATGCCTTTTCTAATGTCGTACATCTGGTCTTCAGTAAATTCTCTATTCACGCCTTTCACAAGCAAATATGCCCATGTAATGACATGCACTTCGCAGTTGTTCGCTGTTGGACGATTAGTCGATTTTTGCTGTGGTATGTCTCGTAGACGGTACAGCCTCCACTCGTGCCACTGGATTGGTTCTGCACTTGGGTTATAGATTTCTATAATTTGTTGAAATCCGCTTATAACGTGAGGCGGTATTTGAACGCTTAACGAATCCATATACATCATAATTTTGTGTTTTTTTATTATGATCAGAAGTATCCAGTGTCTCGAGTAGTTTATTGGAATTACCCAAATATCAAAATTGTTGACATTAACTGCTTTCGTCCACTTCCGAAATCCACCTTTAATCGTTTCGTATTGAATGAAATCCGAAGCATAGAATGTCTGGAATGTCAGTATTTTCATGCCAGTTTTTCTTTCCATATTTTCGAATAATCCAAAGGTGAAGTTCATTATGTTGTTATCTAACTCTTTTCCCTCTTCAAAGGTTGAGGAATTCTCTCTGCACAACATACTCCTTCTTCTCGATATTCGGAAAATCTAATGGATAAGTGTTTTCTCCGAATGATAATTCCAATTCTTCGATAGGTTGTGATATAACAGCTGGTGTAGATATCACTAATTCACTGCTATTTTCAATTGAGTAATCATCATCAATAATTATAATATCATTTCCTCCGTTAATACTGCAGTTACTTGAGATATTTTCTCCTTCATTATGCGGCCTGTTGTTGTTCATGTTAATATTAAAAAAAAAAAATCATTACAGTCTTTGAATTTCTTTTGACGGTCATACCACAATCTGTAGCATCTAGTTGTGTATTGCTGCAGCGTTTCGCGATAAGGACTATTATGATTATGTTTTTTTTTAAATTTCCCGGCAAACATATTCAAGCGCACACTTTTTTACTCTGTATGAACTTAAATAATTTTTTATAATATCACTTGATGATTGATGTCCAGACGTATGGAACAGGGTTTCTACCAACTCATCCATGGTTATTACAATTTTTTGCGGCATTTTTTGAATTTTCACAATAACTCTTTAATAAATTCACGATTCGATCAGTATAGATAAGTACAGTGTCAAATTCGACAGAAGACTGATGCACGTCATTTTTGTTAGCAAGTTCAACAGCTCATTACCTTAAAAGTTGACCTGCCAAAGGATGATTATTATTGGTTCTTCAAAGAGATCTTCAAGACTATTTGTGCTTCTAACTTTAAACAAATATTTCATTGGTTAGGTAAGGTGGGCTTACCCTACACAACAGAGAAAATAAACTATTTTCTTAGTGGTCTCACTTTCACTCACTACAGAAGATGGGACTTTCAGGTGTCTCCATTGTTCAAGAAATTGAAATTGCTGTTACAATAAGAGTTGTATTGTCCACAGCGAAAAATAAAAAAAGGTCGCTCAGGTACTAATAGTCTAGCAAAATGAGGAAAACAGGATAATTTTTATTTGCGAAGGCCAAAGTAATGATTTATAGATCATTAGATCGAAAATTTTGCAAAGAAAACGATGGTGTAAGTATGATATTTGCATCAACTGCCATCGAATTGTAATTTATTATTAAAGAATAGAATTACATCAGCGTTCTTAAAATGCTAGTCTGTCAACGTTTAAACAATTAATTCCTCTAACAAATAATAGTCAGACTGTGTTTTACTGGATTTATATGAATTTCAATTATTCAATAAACAAATTAGTATAAGCCTAAAGTTTCTAGTCAACTGCTATCGACTTGTAATTTATTATTGAAAAATAGAATTATATCAGCGTTCTTAAAATGCTGGACTGCAAAACAGTCGCGATATGCGACAGGACGACATTTATACTCAGACGATACATTACAACCATCTTGTATTAACTATGTCCTAAACTATCACCACTACAGATTTTTGTTGCTATGCTCAGTAATTATTCAGGAGTATACGTTATTTATACTTGATGATGCTTTTATATGACACATTATGACACAGAAAGAGTCCAAAAATATGCGATAGACATAGTTTTCTCCAATGTCTCCAAACTATGCGTTGAACACATGAACACTTTGGACCTGTCTTCAAAGTATCAGAATGTCTCCAGTGTATGCGTTAGAACTAGGAAGAGTTCTTGAACTATGCGTTAGGCATACATATATATATATACAGGGTGACATACGATATATTTATTTCCCAAAAATCAGATATTCAGAACGATGAAATAAATCGATTTCCGAGAGGAAAATTTTCTTAAACAAATACTTTTTAACTTATAAACAATTGAAAGTTAACAAATGGGAAGGCACTATTTGCTCGAGTCGAGAAAGTAGGCGGGGCAAAATAAACAGAGGTAAAACAGAGAGAATGAAAAGAACACTGCGTTACCGTGATCAGATAAAAAGGCAAAAAAAATCCAAAATATGGCTTTGCGTTCATTGGGTAAATGAATAAGATAAATTACAATAGTGTAGGCATATAAAAATAATTAAATAATAGACAAAATAAAATGTTAAATAGAAAATGAACGTATGCAGAATTAGGTACTTTTACATTCCTAATTGAACGGAATTCAAGAGATCATAGCTATAGAGACGAATAAATCAAAATTGCTTTTTTATTGTATTAATTTCTTGATGCAAACACAGTGATAAAATACGCCGGCTATACATGTTATCCACTATTAATTCAAATAAATTAACTAAAGAGATACTCAATAATTTTATATCACTGTATCATTAATATTTACATCTTTGTTTACTACTCCACAAAAACATAAATAATTTTTATTATTATCGGATGATTCAATTATTTATAACAAACAATCACAATCAAAAAAACACAGTATATATATATGACACTGTAATGAATCAATTTTCGACACTGTGAAGTTGGGTTTATTGATATGATTTATTGAATATTTGTAGAAGTAAAAATACAGAGATGTTGCTCCTTTTAAGTCTAGATTTAATCTGACAACTTTACACTAAATTGCTCGTTGAGTAGCCTGTAGCTCCCAACGTCTTGCTGACGGACTACAATATAATCCTTAAAATAAAGTATCTTATGTCTATGAGAAAATTATAGTAATATAATATGTGCACTTAGGCAGTTATAGTTTGCTATAAAATAGATTGAATTTTATTTCGATGTGAAGGGTTTTACAATAATCATAACACCTCCCTCCTCAAGTTAAAGGTAATGTTTTATATTAGAACTTATCTTTAATTACACCAATAGAGCGTAAAGGTCTTCGTGGTTCTGGTACAGGACCAAATTCAGAAGATCGACCTGGTAAAGGCTCTAATGGTACATCTACAGAGCTAGGTTTCCTTCCTTTTTTAGAAGTGTTACAAATATTAAAAGTAAGGCAGTTTACAAATTTAGAGCATTCGTTTGGGTTTTCATCACTATGTCTACGATTAAATGGATAAAGGTTATATTTTCTACAGCAGCCGCAACATCTAAGAACAATATATAAGATAATCATAATACATACAACATAACCAATGTACGTGAAAACTGATACCTTATAATCTAACATACTTTGTTTCTCCAAGTCGTCTATCATGTTTGATATTACGGTTAACTTATGGCTAGCAATATTTAAATTATCTAAATAAACATCTGTTTTAGGTAGTTGTTGCATTACAGGTATACTGAAAGGGATAGAATTTTTTATATCGCAACAGTCGTCTTGAGTGATGTTAAAAGGAAGGGTTTTTATAGTATAATTACTCGTGAAAGAGCTTTCCGCAGCAAGTAACGTTACTGGCGTATAAGCTTTACAATGTGGTTTCAACTCAAAAATTCCAGTTCCTTGAAGGCGAGTGTTAATTACTTCGGATGATACACATGAAATAGTAACAGAAATTGGTAATGGTGATATATAGATCCAAATATTTTTATTCTTCAGTTTATACCATTTTTCATCGGTAATTTGTACGATTCTAGAATCGCAACTTTTTGGAATATTCTTTTTCACTGA